CCTCGATCGCATACGGAACGACCATGTTTGGCTGCAACGTTTTCTGGAAATGTACGATCTGGATATGGAGACATCCTTTACGAAGCTCTGGGATACGTGCATTTGGCGTCAGTCGTACGGCGCAAACGATTTGACTGAAGACAAGCTCAATCAGCAGTATCTGAATGAGGGATCTGTGTTCGTGCATAGTCACGATGTGGACGGGAAGCCGTTGCTCATATTTCGCGTCAAGTTGCATAGCAAGACCAAGAATGTGGATGAATTGATACGCATTGTGGTCTACTGGGTTGAGCGAAAGCAGCGCGAGAGTCATATGACCCAGCTGAGCATATTCTTTGACATGGCCGGCACGGGCTTGGCCACCATGGATCTGGACTTTGTCAAGCGTATTGTGGAGACATTCAAACTCTACTATCCCAATTCGCTTAATTACATATTGGTCTTCGAGCTGGCTTGGGTGTTGAATGGTAAAAATAACCTTTTTTTCGTTACACTTTGAACTTTCGAAATGAGCTTTCCTCTTCTTCTTTTTTACCTATGCTTAGCCGCTTTCAAGGTCATTAAGGCACTGTTGCCACCCAAAGCGGTTGAGATATTGAAAATGATATCAAAGAAGGACGTCACTCAGTATGTGCCCAAGGACAATTGTCTGGTCAGTTGGGGAGGCACCGACAGCTACGAGTTCCAATTTGTCCCAGAGCCCAAGCGTGCGCTAGCCAAGCCGAAAGCTGCCAATGCCGGTGATGACGACCAGCCCCATGATGAAATGGGTTTGGATAAGAAGGTAGGTGACCCACGAAATCCCCTGGCCCAAGAGCCGAAAGTTAAATTGTTTTTAGGTGTGTTTAGTCTGTAGCTGGACAGTCCAGGAAGTTTGTCTGTTAATTGAATTTCCTGACCAGCTGAACACGCGAGTTGGTCCCTTAATTGATTTACATTAAAAGCTTGATATTGATTCAGGGTGCGCAACGGATTGCGTGTCCTGCGTTGGCCATTCTATTTGCTATTAATAGAAATTCCATAGACGCATAGCAAAAGTTTCGCTTTCGTTTGCCCGCAGTGGTCAGCGAAGCGTTGTGAGGCGTTGACCTGTAAAAAGAAAAAATAAATAGAACACTCACGGCATACATGTTGATTAATTCCCAGCGCGCAGCATTAGGCAAACTATTTATTCTCATTCTCATTTTCACTTTATTCGGTTATTGTTCGCCCGCCCGCATACTCATCGCTGACTCGTAAATTCAATTAACACGAATTGCAATTTGCAGTGCTACGGCTGCAACTGGCTAGTCAGACGAACAGCTGTTCGTACGCAGAGGCTGATCGCAGTGCGTGAGCTTTTTGAAAGGCAGCGAGCTTTTGTGTTTAGACTTTTGTGCGTTTTTGTGTTGTTGGTTTTAGTTGTGTGTCCACGTTTGTCGCGGTATGTTGGCGCGACGTCATCAGTTGCCCGAAATATAATTGCATTAACTTAATATCTGCTACTGATATTTCCGCATTAAGCATTCTGTATATACATAACGAAGCTACAATACATTTACGGAACGTTGAAAAGAAAGCAAAAGAAAGAAATCAGAAGACAACAGACAACACCGTTAATATATTATTCTTCCGCAAACATGCCCAGGGTAGGTGGCTTCGACCAATATGGAAGTTTATGTGCGTGCGTGTGTGCATGTATTGGCGTATTGGTGATCATGGGTGTGCTGTTAATGCCAAACAAAGCACAGCAACGACAACAAATGGAAGTGTATAAAACGAAAACGAATTCTAATTGTTATTCCAAATGAGTAGACTTTAAGTTAACCTTGCGTAGCTTCTTCACGCATTTCTGTCTATTTACAAATCTATTGTTAAATCCATAATTGCACATTTGTTTTAAAATTGTCTAGATTCTATTCATTTCCCAGATGCTGTGCGTAATTTATTGCTCATTGCTACGTCACTTTGTGTATTTCGCCGTAAATATCGATACAAAATAGTTTTATAGTTGCTTCACTCCTTCACTTTCTGAGATTTTCTAACTATATTTCTCTAAGGCTCTACAAGGCTAAGGTTCATTCTTTAAAATATATTCTTGTTTTTAAGAGTTAGGGAGGATATGTTTCCATATTCACCAGTATGTGAATTCATCTATAGCATCTTAATTATTTAATATTTGATGTTATTTAGAAAAGTAAATAGGCATGTGATTGAGATTGCATTATATTTGAGAGCTACCAGTAACCATAGAATGTGTTCTATGGTTAGTGGAGCTACTGCAACAAATTCTCCATTTTTACAATAACGATTCGCAGCTATTTTTAAATATATATTTATATCGATATGTGTTTATATCGCAACGTTTAAATTCCTGCGATAATCACTGTAAATAACAGCAGCTTAACATAACATGAATCTCAATTTGCAGTAGATAAACATTTAAGTTGCATATAAAACTATCTTGTATCTGAGATTAAATTTCACTGTCTCAAAGTGTCGGCTATAACAACTAAGGTATTCTTATGACTTCCACATAAAAAGTTATGGAAAACAAAATAAATAATGGCTTCTCCAGAAGAGAAAAGCAGCATATATAATATGCAGCTTTGAAGCCCCGTTATCCGGCAAATATTAGGTGCATAAGTTGTCTCAAAGTAAATTAGACCGATTCGCAAAACGGCCTTCCATTGTGTTGTCAAGTGAGGCCCTGAAGTGCTAGAATGGGCACTCATGAAAATAGCAAAGCTCAGCATGAATCGATTGATGATAATTTTCATGCCATGAGCATGGCCTGACCAAAGGCATCTCAATTTCAATTAATTTCCATTGTCTGTGTGTCGTTGTCTTTGGCAGGTTACCTTCTCCAATTGCGTTCGTATGGCGCCTCAAGATTCAAGCAACGGCAAGCTTCATACGCCATCGGATTTGGGTAAGCATTTCGCTTTGTATATGAATACTTAAGTATATAAATGCTTTATGTATGTGAGCAGATTTATCATTTATACAACATTGACAAAACACAAACATTGACTTCACAATCAGTTATATCACCTAATGTAAATTTATTATTTAGTTTGAGCAAAAGTTTGGAAAAAAAATTTTATAGTTTGATTAAGACCACGTACAATTTATTTGTCCATCTACATACACATATTGTATCTGCTGTCCAGTTATGCTGCAATTGGAGCCCAAGGAATTTGTAAATATTTGCAAAGATAATGGGGAAGCGAAGGTGTCGCTGAGAAACATTTGCAATAAACCGGTGGTCTATAAGGTGAGTTAAGATGAATACATTTTGAAACATAATAATAATAATGACCATTATATATCCCTTTCAGATACAAACAACATCACCAGAAAAATTTCGCGTACGTCCCCGTTGCGGTGTAATACCCCAAAATGAATCAACCGAAGTGCACATTTGGCTTAAATCTGATCAGATCCTGAGCAACGATGGAAAAGACAAATTCCTGGTTATGGCAGCTTGCACTTCAGAAACCGAATGCAGCTCACAAGCTGTTGCAGATATGTGGAGAGCGAAATCTTCAACAGACCCAGATGTGGAAACCTTCCGTCTCGTATGTCGTATGGACGAGAAATCCGAATGTGCAAAAAATACCACAAACATGAAGAGCGATAGCAGTAGTAGTGTATGTTCATATATATATTTTGTATTATTTTTGGGGTCTTTATACCTTTTATTATTCTACATACATATATCGCTTTTCTGGTTTATTGCAGGAATTTGATGCAGACAAATTTCAGGAGCAAACCCAAAAAATTGAAGCTCAATTGAATTTTACAAAACATTTACAATATGCCACATTGGCTCTATTGTTGTTGCTATTTATTGGGTTCGGTTTTCTTATGTATGAGCAGATGATAAAACACTCGTCAGCTGGCGGAAGTTGCCGTAAAGCCCCAGCATACACGTGTCCCAAACGCAAATAATATTTACTGTCTCAATGCAATCTGACCTTGAGAGACGATGCCACTGCCAGCCACGACCAACAAAATCAGAACAACAACAACAACAACAACATTAATAATAATATTAACAAAATTAACAATGACTATAATCTGCATAAGGATAGCTGCATTTGTGACCTAAGCCTCGGTTTGGACTACACAGATGATGACATCCATTGCTTGGAGACGTTACTCTTGGCTCATCTGCAAATGTCGGTGCGAAATAGTCAAGGCATTGGCGGTCAAATGGGCGGCGGTGTCGCTAATGGCGGTCATCTTCTTGGTCTTATTGCATTCGCACGCAAAATAGCGCGTGTGATCCTATCGCTTTCCGTGCTTTGCTGTATTCTATTCTTAAGCTTCTATTTGGGCTGCAATTACGATGGCCAAAATGACGACAGTGGTGCTCCAAGTCATTCAACAACCGCAATAGAAGCAACAACAGCTCTGTCGATGGATGCGACCACAGCGATCAACTATGCATCGAYACCCGGCAGTGACCCAGCCGATTCATATTTTATGTAGTTGGCAAATATCTATATCTATATATATATAAATATATATATACGGAAGACAAAAATTATATGTATATGTATATATGTTACACTGATATATTTTGTATATGGAAATATTTATACGAAAACAATTGATGGATATGGCCAACCTAAATGTGTATTGTATTTGAAAGATTTAGCGAATAGACAGCTTCTCTACCACTTGCATTCACAATCATATACATAAATACATACATATATATGCATTCATTGCTATATATTTAACTACTTTGAGGGTCGTAGGGTCTAGAATCAAATGAAATTTATCTTTAGTAGCCGCTTGTGAAACAATGATTATCTAGTTCTTGATGATGTATGATGTATGATATATGTAAATTATAAAGTAATTATTATTATTATGATATAAATTAAAACACAAGTTGATTAGTTTGTAAATAAATGTTTTAGTTCGGTTTGTTTCACTTTTTGCAATAGCTTTTTGTGCTATTTTGCGAATACATATATAAATTTACTATATTTAAAAAACAAAATCAGTTACAACATTTTATTCAGTTGGCTTAATTAATAAGTGTTTATAGGCTGCGCATCATAGTAATGCGACTTTTGAAGAACAAAACAATTGGAAACATTTAACTAACGTTTCTCCATTAATCCTTCTTGCGTCCGCGTTTGGATGATGTCTTTTTGCCAGTCTTACTGTCATCGCCCTTTGGCGGAACTGTCTCGGTTTTCAAATCCACCGTCTCCTCCTTCTCCTTAATTTCCGTTTCTATTGATTCCTTGGCCGCTTCGACGGCAGCTGCCTTCGGCTTCTTGCTGGCTGGCACATTCTCCTTTTGCTTCTCCGCCTCGTCCGACTCGACCAAAAACACACTATGCTGCCCACCGCCGGCTGCCAATAGCATCCGTTTGTTCTGTGTATTTTTGCTGACGACAGGAACTGGCACCAGCTCATCGTCGCCATCTCCCACACCCAACTGATTATTGGAGCCCATGCCCCAGGAATATAGTTTACCATCATTGGTTATGGCATAGGAACAAGCTTCGCCGCAGCCAACAAATATGGTCTTCCCACTGATCTCTTTAATGGGCATTAGCTCGGACACCACTTCCTTAACGTCGCCAATACCCAAGCGTCCATAGTCTGGACGCCCAATGGCGAAGCAGCGCATTGAATTGTCCAGCACCAGGGTATGATGCTGCCCGCCCGCAATCTGCTTGATGTCCTTTAAATTGGTTTTAATGGGTATCAAAACACGCTCGGCCTCCTTTGCGTGCGCCAGCTGCTTGTAGTTGTTCAAGCCCACGGCCCAGATCACCCCCGTTTGGGATTCACGTAAAAATGTGCAATAATTGGTGGCCCAAATGGCTTCAAAGGGCTTGGCGCGCTTGATAATTAGCTGATCCGGCCGCAATAGGTCGCGTTTACCCCTACGACCTAAGGAAATAAAGTCATAATACATTACAAATGGCACGCTGCACATTGAAACTCTGTACTCACCCTCGCCTCCAACTGAACGCTCAGAAATGCGTCCCAGTTGCCCTTGCTCAGCACAGCCCACGGTGAAGACCTTGCCCGAGGTGGTGAGTATAACTAAATGATCGGCGCCAGAGGCAATGCTGCAGCATATCATGCCGTCGAGCAGATTAATGGGCGTGCGCTTGTTGCCATCAATTGTTAGGCCCATGTTGCCGTGCGAGTCTCGGAACGAGCCCCAGGCAAAGACGCGTCCATCCTCCAGGAGGCAAGCCGAATGCGAATCGCCCGCCGAAATGCGAAGTGCTTTGCCGGGCAAATTGACGAGTGCTGGCAGCGATTCACTGCCCTCTTCGCTGGTGTCGCGACCAAGCGCACCCTCGTCATTGCAGCCAAACGAGTAGATATCGCCCGACTTTGTTAACACCAAGCAGTGCATGCCGCCGGCACAGATATCCACAGGATTCGGTATGTTCTCAACGATGGCCGGACGCTTGCGTTCCAGTACATCCTCTCCAAGACCCAGTTGACCGGTATCGCCAGTGCCACAGACTAACACATTGCCAACTATCTGACGACGCTCGGGCAAGTCCAGATGGAAAACCAATCGCGCTCTTTTTGCTCTTGTGGGCTGCACCGCCTTATCTTCCTCGGAGTTATTGTTGTTTGCGAGTATCTTGCGTCGTGGCATCTTTGTTATGGGTTCACTGATCAATTTCACAATTTTATTTTATAAAACTAAAAAAAAAACATATCAACGTGAATCTATAAATGTAAATATAAATGTATATGTATAGGTATATCTAAATATATGTGTGTGCAAGCTACTTGTGTATGTAAGGTTAGGTATAGCGCCAAAATATTATCGATGCGTGTGGTATACTCACAATGGAATTTATGTGTTGCGAACTCTTGGCTTGGGTGGTGCGACCGATTGCTACAGTGGTTTTTGGGCGAGTGAAAAACCAAATAGCCAAAATCTTTGGTGGTTGTAGCATAAAGACAAAATCTACCTAATCCAGCATAAAATGCGCGGGAAGGCGGCTAACACAGACTGCGGCAGCTGCATAATATACAGTTGCATTTAGCTGCTATCGCGCATAATCGATAGAAGTCGGTTAACTATCGTTTATAATGTATCGATGTTTCAAACCATGGCGCCACTAACGCTATTCCAAGTCGGATATGTATTGAATGGAATATTTTAAAATTTTAAAGCAATCTTTGCGCAATACCAATCCGAAAATTTAATAGGCTCTCAACGTTCTATTACTTAGATATTCATACACAAACTGCTTAATAATTAAGTTCATATTTCGAATGGTCGGCCAGTGTAAGTTATCCAGGTTATCCGCTTCTTGAAGCCAGACCTCTGGATAAGTATAGGGCACTATATGCATGACTGGTAATCCTATTTAAGTTGAATTTTGTTTATATATTTTAGCATGAACATTTTTTATATGTAAAACTAACCCTTTTCTAAAAAGCACATGTGATCATCTTTTATATCGTTGTTATGATCCTTGAGCTTGTGAAACAACTGGTGGCACTTGCTGAGATCCCCGGAAATGCGCAACTCCTGCTCAATATCTGCTAGGCGCTCGTGCAATGCGTATGTACGTTGATATTTGCTCATGTATATTTGATCTGCTGTGCCAATCAATTTGAATGAAATAACTAAATTCTGTGAACTCAAAGAAAACAAAAATATATATGTTCATATGTATGTGTATACGTATACTACTAGTTATGAACTGAAGCAACTCACGATCTTATTTAATGCTATGGTTTCCACTCGTACAAAGTTGTTCGAGCCCAGCAACGACGGACTCGGATCTAGGTCACCATCAATAGATTCATGACCATCGAAGAATGCCAGCTTAAAGACAATATCTATTATGTTAATACGCGCCGCTTGCAGGTGAAATAATCTTTCTACTCACTACCAAACCAAGATCTGCGCTATGGGCAAATTCCTGATGTAAAAAGTCATTTAGCTCCTCGGCTATATTCAATAGCATGGCACAGGAGACAGCATCCGTAGCCGCGACATAAGACTCCTTTGCCTCCAAATATTTCGAATCATAATGGCAGCTCAGCAGCAGGAATTGCTTCGCTTCCATGTTCGAAACGCCGATCACATTGGTCGCTGCGTATACGTTGAAGAAGTCATCGCGAATAATGACAAAGCCCAGACGAGTCAACTCTTCCACGAGAAATTCATTGACATCTTCGTGGCCAATGGAGCCAAGCCATCGAGGAACTAAGAATTTGTTCAGAGTCTCCATCAAATATTCATTATCATCTTTTAATGACATGCGCTTCCATTGTATCAATAGCAGGGCGAGGCAACATCCAAGTATCCAACAATTTAAGGGCGACATTGAGAGCTGTTCGACGTGATCAGCCAGGTAAACTAAACTAAAGCAAGTCATGCCTGACGCTCTGCATTATTTCTTTAATAATTACATTAGCTACATGGCCGTAAAAGTTCTTTAAAATTATGTAATATAATTAAGGCATACAAACAACTAAATACACTTACAATTTTTATTATGAACTCTGTAATTTTAAATACATGGTTTTCTTTGATACAGAGCATTATAAAAGTTAATGCATGTTTGAGAAATGTATAGTTATTAAAAAAATTGTTTATATAGTTGCCAGTTTAATCGTACATATATGTATATAGGCCGTTTATTTCAATAGTAAAAATGCTAAGACAGTTTTCTTTTCTTTTTTGTATCGTAAATAATCTCTAATGGAAAGTTAGGTGAATATGCACAAATGCCCAATCAACAAAACAAATACTAAACTCTTATTTAACTAGGTCAATAACTAATAAAAATAAAAGATTTGGGAGTGAGGGAATGTGAGCAATACAAAAAGGCCGGTACACCGAAATACAAATGCCCTTGCAGTCAGCAGGTATTCAATTGTTTCCATCGAACATTTGTTCTTATGGCCGCGCATATGGCGTTCCGCTTTTACGCGGAAGAGCATTATTTGTATATATCATATTACAACAATGAAAGGGAAATTACAATCGAGACAATCGAGGACAGACGGACTGAGCCAGTGGGAGCATTTGTAATCTAAACTAGAAGCAAACAGATCGATTCATTTACATATGTTCAATAATAATGCTAGGTAATAGCTGAATGTAGTTCAAGTGTTTCACTAAGTAGTAAGCTTTCTGAATATACAACATTTACAAGACGGCTGTCGAGAGGACAGACAGCTGCACATCTAATACGCACTCACGCACACACACACACACACACACACACATAACCACAGGCAGACAGTCACACGCATACAATCACAACTGTTCGGGTACTTTCCCAGAAAGTCTGGAATAGAAGTATATATAAAATGCTATGCATTGCTGCTTGCCTTTACAGTCGGTTGATTAGGTAATCAATTAGCCAACTCATCGCTGCATGTCGCGCCGTTTTAGCACATCGAAAATGACATCCGATGCGTTTTGCTTGTTTGTTGAATCATTAGCCGATTCATCCTCCGAGTCGGTCTGCTCCAGCAGCGGGACAGTGAGTGTGCCATGAGAGCCAGAAGCATTGCCATGAGCGCCAACAATCGCATTGCCTTTGTTGAAGTCATACTCGGAGCACATATCCTCGCCATCCTCCTCCAACTGCATGCCCAACTGTTGCTTGTTTACCTTTGCCAGGGTGGAATATTTATGCACCAGATGACAAGCGATGCCAGCCAAGCAAACCGCCAAGCCCACGAGGTTTATGGGACTGAGTTGATCGCCTTTCAGCGCCACGGCTAGCGCCAGCTGGCATATGTCCTTAAAGATGCCCGCTATGGACAGCGTCAGACTGGATGTTTTGCAGAGAACCAAAAATTCGCTGACCTCCATGAAAAATGCAATAAATGCGCCCAGTGTAATGCGGGCCAGAACCCACAGAATGTCACTCTCCGGCGTATTGTGCAAATTCTGCAGAGCAGCATACAACTTGGGTCCTGCAATAAGGAATAGGCTTACTTATGGCTTTAGATTCGATAAGGACTACTCTAATACTTACCTTCAATGCTTAGGACTAGCGGAAACAGCGACACAATCATCCAAGGCTGCATGTGGTAGATCATATCGATCGGATTGTGCAGACCCAGCTTGGATTTTTGCATTATGAACTGCGCAAAGCTCCAGCGTACGCCGCTGCTCAGTGAAGCGAAAAGAATAAACAAGAAGCCCAGCGTGTTGAACTGTGTCGACTTATAAGTAAACATGAACAGACCCAAGCCGATGAGGCCGACTATAAGAACCAAAGACCAGCTCTGTAAAGGTATCCAAATATTTATATTTATAGTAATTATCGTACTCGAGGCCGTCACCCACCTTGCGCTCCAATCCAAGCAATATGGCAAACAGCAATATAAATACAATTGTCGACGATTTGGTCATTGTATACAAAGAGATGGGCACCAGGGCAAGGCCCCAATTGGAGAAACCAATATCAATGCCGCTGGCCACGCCCGTTGGCGCCATGCGACGCACCGCCACTCGCCAGTCCAGCTGGACGCGCGTCTTGCCCACACGCATCTTATAGATGCTGCGTACCAGCGCAGCCAGCAGAAACTTCACGATCAAATGATACGTGACAATGGTGAGCGGAAAGGGCAGCTCGCGATTGATGTCCGTCTGATAGAAGGTGAGCGTGATGGACAGCGACAAATAGAGCAGAATAGTGGCCAGCGTACCGATCGCCATCTGCATGAATCGAGCCTCCGCATGTCTCGTCATTCCGTCGTGGGGATGTGAGTGACTCTGCTGTGCAGACGTGGCTGCGTCTCCGTTGCTGTTGTTTTTTGCGTATTGAAAATTCGTATGCGACGACAGCTGGCGACGCTCTTGAATGTTGTTGGCATTCTTATGGGTCAAGTCGGCGCTCAGTTCGAGCTCCTCGATGTTGCTGCCCCCGTCGATGTCGCTGCCAGCGTCGACGTCGCCGTCGCCGGTGCTGAGACGTTCATACTTGGGAGCAACCATTATCTAGTTATCGAATCTGTACGCCCGAGGGGCGACGAAACTAATTATTGCAACGTACATTAACAAATGGCCAGGTCGGAGAGTACCTAACGCCCTTATCGCTAACTTTACTGTTCCATATGCTGCAATTGGTGAGTACTGCACGCTATTGTTGTATTCCACTCTCTCTTTGGCAAAGTTTGTCGGCCGTTGTTATCTGTTTAACTTTAGCAATTACTTGAGTCAGCCGCCGGGTGCGATTATTGTTTTTTTACGTTTTCATTTTGCCTGTTGCCCACTCTTAATATACGTCTGTTCGCTAGCTGCCAACTGTTTATACAATGTTTGTTGTTTTTTTTTTCTCGCCTCTCTTATTGTGTTGGCCAAGTTGACGTCTTGCGTGCTGGTGTTGGAAAGTGCCATGTGCAGCTTGCGATGTTGCATAAAAATATCGATATAGATATGAAGAACAATCGTTGCATGCTTAACATTCATATTAATATAATTGTGCTTTTATTTCATTTATTAGTTTGAAACGACTTAACTACAATACAGTTACAGTTGCTGTTTATTAGAAGCACTAAGGTTGTGTGCATAGTCCACATTGATTCTCTTTTGGCTCATTAAAAGTAATTGAGAAGCCGCCGCATATGATGCACGTGCTTAAGAGCTAAATGCATCTTTACATGTTATATTAGTATGTAGCGCCCTTCATCTAGTTCCAAATACCTTACATCTACGCATTCTTCAGGTGTTGCAGTACAATTGGAGCTGTTTTTATACAAAATCAAACACTTGTATTTACATAAGCCAATCATGATTTCTTTGCTTACCAAGTCGAATAGCTATGCATAGCGCTCCAAACATAATAAAGTTGTTTCGCACCTCAGCGGCAACTCGCTTCTGTTCCTCTGCGGGGTCGGGCTGTGATTGTTGTAGGCGGAACATTGTTAACTATTAACTTGATTGCAAAATTGGCAGAACGTTTGCTTAAAAATCAGCGACTTCTTATCAAGGGGTCGTTCACGAGCAGACGAGCAACTACCATGTATGAAACTTATCGAATAGAAATATCGCGTGTCGGTAAGTGATTCGCTATGAATAAATACCAAAATTTATTATCGAATATTTTCGAAAATTTAAACATTGAAAATAACAATTAAAATCAATATTATCCAGAAAATAACAGCTTCCATTAAAAATTCACTCGATTGCTTGCTTTTCCATACTGCCGTATATTTCTTTGTCCCTTGTCATTCGTGTTTTCCATTTTTGCAAATATACATATGTATATATATTTTGTTTTTTCTTTTTAACTAAATACACAATTACATACACATTTACATATAAATACAGCTACTGCACATACACATACATATGTATGCAAATATATACATATAAATATAAGTACATAGCATTTTCCTTCTTTTTTTTTTTTTTTTTTGTATAATTATACAATATTATCGTGTCGTTTTTTCGGTTTTGTTTTTAAGCAATTCGCTTTGTTACTGGTTGTTTTGTTTCCTATGTTCATTTTATGTCTAAATTCATTTGCTTGTACACACAACTATTTAAATTAGGCGCGCTTAATTGCTAATCTCACTACGACTCCAATTCTCTCATTTAAAATCTGATCAGAAACTGAGAAAGCAGCTGGCAGGTAAGCATACGTATTGCTAATAAGATTCTGAATGGGAAACTTAGTTAATGATGGGGAAACAAATAAAAGAATATTGAATAGTTTAACTTTAGATGGTGTGCCATTTATAATATTTTACCCAATTTATTAGTTTTAATATTGATTCAAGGCGTTGCCTGCTAAATGAGAATCTGCCATTGCTCTCTAATCAGAAACGTTGCAAGCTTTCAACTGTTAAAAACAATTCAAATTAGCTTGTGTATCGTAAGTTTGCCAAATTGGAAATTATTCACTTATATATTTCTTTTTCTTGCTTAACTCAGTTCGCTTCGTATTAAATTCATTTCTTCTCCTTCTCCACGTCCTCCCCTTTTACCCTATACAAAAAGCCAATGCAAAGCATTTTCTCTATTAACTGCATATGAAAATATGAAAATATGGAACCCAGCAAATGTGGTTGGTTTTTCTTTTTCGTTTTCTGTTTCTGTTTGCTTTAACATTGCTAAACCATCTTTAAGCATTATTTAGAATATATATATATCTTAGCTCTTATATTTAACTACATTTGTTGTTGTTACTTTTTCGTCTTCTTCACTTTTTAACACTACACATTTATCAACATTTATTTATTTACTTATATGCATTTATGTATCATAATTTTTGTTTTTGTGTTTGTTTTTCGAAATCATATTTTCGTATACATTGGAATTTGTATTTTGTTAGTTGCGTGCCCAAAAATATATAGGAACTTTATGCAAAAATAACAAAAATATTTTTTCTGCAAATTTTTTAAACTTTCAGTGTTGAGTAATGCACAAAATTGTTGTAAAACTTCAGTCGGCGTAGAAAACTTAAAGCTGGACAGCAAATAAACAGTTATATTTAAATGTAAAAATAAAATAAGACAAAATTTTATATTTTTAGAAAATAATATTTTCGTACTTTGTTTTGTTTTTTTTTTTTTTTTTTTTTTTTTTTTTAGGTTCTCTCCGTCTGTCACTTTTTTTATACATACAAAAAATTGGAGTTTTTTTTTGTACAAAACTTTGTTGCTTTCTATTACATGTTTAACATTAGCATTATTTTTTTTTTGTGTGTGGGTGTGTGTGTGTGTCTGTAACTCCATTTAACTAGTATTTTTTTTTTGAATTTTGTATATTTTTGCTTGTTTTGTAATTGATTCTTTTTCAAATTTTTTTTATAACGTGTAAATTTAGAATTAAAATTAACAAAAACTCACTTTCAAGTTTTTAAGAACTAAGGTTAACTAATGTCTACATAGCATTTATGTATATATATAGGGAGATATATATGTAGTATAGGTTGTTTCTGCTGCCATTTAAGGTATTTGAAAATTTCGTTTAGATGTGTATTGTGTGTATTGGGGTTTGCTTAGAACAATGTTTAAATAATTAGGCTAGAATTAAAAACAAATTGGATTTGTTAGGCCCTTGGAGCAAAGACCTATTAAGATGGCTGCAATTTTTACAATTTTGCTTTACAATTTTACTGAAAATAAGTATTATAATTATTCTAGCTTTTTTTTGCGTTTAATGTTTTACAAAAGTAAATTAAGACATTGGGCAACGTTGACTAAGTCAATGTGTTTTCCAGCGAATGCAGCAGAATCAATTTCGTACTAAAACAATTTACAACAATCTCTTAAACGTTTAAATGCTAAAGAACAATTTGAAATTGAAAATTTGAATTAAAGTTCCTGGTTTTTCTCTCGTATCGGTATATGTAAATATATATATAACAAATCTTTAAAAACATTTCTAGTGTTCCTTAATCTTTTTGTTTGCACTTTGTGAAGCATTTTTTTTTTTGTTTTTATTTATTTTTTCTTTAACTTTCAACTTAAACGAAATGACTTTTTGCTTATCAATGAACTTCATTCTTTCTTTCTTTCTATTTTTTGTTTTTTGTTTAGGAGTTTTGCGCTACCAGTTACAGTTAGTTAGCTATTAAATGTATATGTGTGTGTATATGTATAGTTAGAAGGTTGAGAGGGAGCTTGTTGTAAACCTATTGCCTCGTTAAGTGATTGTGAATGCGTGTGTGTATGTGTGTGTAAGTTGAGTGCTTTCTATTTCTGATCATTCGTTTTGCTTTTTAGGCCATGGAGCGCTAGCTGCTGTTGGTTACGATATCCTCTCTTTTAGCTACTATTGAAGCGTTTTGCTATACATATTCAGGCTTAGCTGCAGCTAACATCTCAGTTTTCTAATACGCTTATATAACACATACTTTTCCGCTAAGACTCAAGAGCTAGAAATCGATGAGTGCTAGCCAGCGTTGAGCCTGATAATTCATCTCGGTAAGTTCTCAGTTACGATTAAATCTTAACAACAACAAGGTTTCGCTACAATTAAACAACTAACAACAACGTAAGCGTATACACCGAAAGCAACAACAACGACAACAGCGACAACAACGACAACAATAGCCAGTTGACAGTCTATGTTTCGTGGCGACGTCGCCGTCGTCGTCGTTGCTGCTGTTGCTGTTGCGGCTGATCGTGCTCCAGTTCCACATACGCAATATCATTCAGCTCAACGAGCTCCTTGAGCATTGGCTCGAGGAGCAGCCTATCGACTCATCCGTCACGTTGGGCAGCCGCTGCCACATTGACAATGCCATTTGTTGGCGATTCCACTTTGATGACGCCCAGATGATGCAGCTCCTCGCTGCGCGGATGCTGAATGCGACCAACTACAACGCCGCCCATGGTCACAAAATTACCATCGGCCGTTACGGCGCCCAGTTGCATCGCCCCGGATAAATCACCCAAGGCGGCTACATTGAAATGATGATGCGGCGAGCTGCCATTGCCATGCGAGGGCTGTAGATGCGATTGTTGCTGCTGTTGCTGTTGTTGTTGTTGCTGATGTTGCGCCACTGTCGTAGTAGACGGGAGCGTCGTAATGGTAACTCCACGCTGATGTTCGAGGTGGTGTTGTTGTTGTTGCTGTTGTTGGGATGGCGTTGACGACTGTTGATGTTGTTGCTGCTGCTGTTGCTGTTGTTGCTGCTGCTGCTGCTGGAGATGATGATGTTGCGCCAACGCCATGCGTCCTAGTCACCCCTCGTCCTCCTCCGTTTTGATCTTGACAGGAACGTAGACCTTGTCCATGACATGGATCTTTATGTGATTGTTGAGCGTGCTCGATTGCCGGAATTGTTTCTTGCATATCACGCATTCGAACGGCTTTTCACCTGCAAAAGAGGCTAGAATTAGCTGGCGATCAGAAGTGCCACACAAAATGTACGCTCACCCGTATGAATCTTGACATGATTGGCCAATGTGCTCAGCTGACGGAAATGCTTGGGACAGTAGTTGCAGTTGTACGGTTTTTCGCCGGTATGAATTTTCAAATGATTCGTCAGTGTCGACGATTGACGGAACGTCTTATCACACACATTGCATTTGTAGGGCTTCTCGCCCGTATGGATCTTTACGTGGTTGGTCAGTGTGCTCAGCTGGCGAAATCGTCTATCGCACACCGTGCAATGGAACGGCTTTTCTGGTTCCCGGCCGCCACCGCTGCCGCTCGATCCGTTGCCCTCGCCCGAATGCTCATTGTTTGAGTGGCCGTTGGTGACGTAGTGCGTCTCACCAAGCGTGGGACTGTGCGTAGCATTGGCCACGAGATGGGCCAGCGTGTGCGACGTTGGTGGTGCAGGTTGTGCTGTTGGCTGCTGTTGATCCGCAGCGGCGGCTTGCGCTGCCGCGGCCTGCGCAGCTGCCATTGCGGCCGCTTGAGCGGCACTGTGAGCCTCCGCTGAAATTCCGCTCAAATGCATGAAGGGAAGGGATACATCTGTGGGCGCGGGCGGCTGTTGTTGCTGTTGATTGTGTTGTTGCTGCTGCTGTTGTTGTTGTTGCTGCTGCTGTTGTTGTTGTTGCTGCTGCTGCTGTTGTTGTTGCTGCTGCTGTTGTTGTTGCTGCTGCTGTTGTTGCTGCTGCTGCTGCTGCTGTTGTTGTTGTTGCTGCTGTTGTTGTTGCTGCTGCTGTTGCTGTTGGTGCTGTGCATGCGCCACAGCTGCCACATGGCTGACATGGCTGGCCTGTGTAACAGTGTCATTGTTGTTGTTGTTGGCGCTCGTGGTCTGCGGTTGCGCGGCAACAATCACAATGTCGCAATTGCTCATTGCCGCAGCGGCCTGATGTGCGTGTGGCAGGCTCTTGATATGCATCATAAGCCTCCTCTTTCTCTCCAGCTAAGCACTTAAGGACGTCAGAACTGGGTGGGTATATGTATATGTGTGGGTGTGAATCTATATGTGTATATGTATGTATTTGTGTGTGTGCGTGGAGGGGGGACGGGGGAAGTGCGGCTCGAAGCGCGGGAGCGTACGTCAATAACAAGAAACTTCGTGACAAGTTTTTGGCGCGCTGCTCACAAATGCCACGACATGCTGGCTGGCCTGATTGTGGTTTCTGCTGCTCTTGTTGTTGTATTAGTTAGTGCCTGCGACAGAGAGAGAGAGAGGGAGAGAGAGATAGAGAGAAAGAAAAAGAGAGAGGGAGAGAAAGAAAAAGAGAGTGCGTGAGATTAGAGATGAGCAGAGCTGTGATTACGTCTGGCACTGTGACTGTGATAAGCAACAGTGACTAATATCGATAGGTTCATTTGGGTGCAACAGCTGACTGTTACAGTTAGGTAAATAATTGTTTGTTGTTATTGGCATGGCATCAGCATGCCTAGCAAGGGTATAAACAATTCTCTGTGCTGAACGAGTTTGACAACTTATTTAGATATCGAGCACAAATGTCACAGTGATCGGCGATCACACTCAGTGATTTCGCTCAGCTCTGATTGAGCGCGAGTGAGTGAATAGTTTGTGTCGGCATCTTTACATGTTATTCGCCTTTTTCGTATGCAAAAATATGTGAGGAATTCCCAAGCTAACTGCGAAATGTTAAGAAATTATAATTCCATTTAAATTATTCATCAAATTGGTTCGCCTGGTGTTCGGTGTCTGCTTACGGCCATTGTTATGGCAAAGAGTTCTGCTCTCTAACGAGTGTTTAGCATAAATTATAAGAGTGTTAGCGATTATGCATTTGAAAACGCGCCCAATGCATGTAATTTGAATTTTTGGCTCTGGTTTTTACGTGCGCCGACAGGTTCCACGTTCCAATTGCTGCCGCTGCCACCGCCGCCGCCGCTGCTGCTGTTGCTGTTGTCGCCGTTTCCCCCACTCTCTCATACAAACATACTTCCACTCGCAAACACATACACTCTCACATACTTCCACTTACACACGCAATCAAGCACTCACACACATTCACGTTTTGGGGCGAACTGACAGCGTGTTACTTTCTCGCGAATTACATGTGTTTTTCATCAGCATTACTCGATAGTTTTTATGCAGATGGGAAAGTTTATTAGCCTGGCCGTCTGCCGCGGTCGTCCTTTTGAATTTTTATATTTGGCGGCGACATGCAGAACGATATTTTTCGTATTTTCGAAGTCCACTCTAAAGTAGTTTTTCCACATTCGATCTTGTCGTTCACGTTCACGTTCGCGCTCGCGCTTCTCACCTTGTCCGCGGCCCTGCTGCTCGTCGCCCTCTTCGTCGACGAGCGACAACCACTTTCAGTCGACGTCGACGTCTTCACAACGCGCCACTCGGACACACACACACACACTCACACATACACACATGCTTACATATACACTCATACACGCATACGGGCACATATACTTAGGCACTCACATTATAACAGCAGCGAAAACCAAAACTCTTTTGAGGTTATGGGCTAATTGAAATTTTCACTATTTTCACATGTTTAATAACACTAATACCCTTCAGGCGAGCGTTTTTTATTTCGGGCATGTACACTCTGTACGCTGGGCGCGCTCACTCTTTGACCTACCTTTCCATTTTGTGCTCGTGCTGGCCTTTTCGTTTTCTGATTGGATTTTTCGCGGGCCAGGCAAGTGTGCACCAAGTACACGGTTCGCTTTTAATTCAGTTAAAACTATGCTTTAAAGCATTATTTATTGTTTTGTATTCATTTATAAAACGTAGAAAAATAGTAAAAATTGTTTTTTTTTTTTTTTTTGCTTTTACTGTTTGCGTACCAAATAGACGCGAAAGAACTGGTACAAATGATCCAATGAACTGGTGCAATTTAGCGATGGTATATTTACTTACCTGCGACTTGTCACAGGTGCGCATCACCTATGACAGGTGCCCAACTTCCCCAATAAAAATATATAAATCATATTTAGTTTAAATATGTATTTCGTCCCTCTTGACCAAAAAGAATTGAGATATAAATAAGCGATGTCACTATGTAAGAATATTGGAGCAACACAGCTGCCATTCGCGTGTTAGCGCATCGTATTAATTGTATTAATCGATAGTTGATATAAATCATCGATAGATTTACGGTAAAAACACGCATTTCTAATGCGAAATTGCAACTGCAAGTTTATTAAAATCAAATGCAATTGTTTATAAAAGTGTACGCTTTTCTGAGTGCGTAGTGCGCTTCATTTTTATAAAATTGTGCAGACGCGTGACGACTGCTGCTCGCCGTTTTGGCCATTCTGCAGGCTCAGCTCGCTGTTGACCTTGTTTTTACTGTGGTGCGTCTGCGGTGGCGGCTCAACTGCCGGTAAACGAATAAAGGTTAGTGTTAGCTAAAATAGATTATTATTTCGTTGCACTCATGCTTACCCTCGATTTGTACGGCCTTCTCGTTGCGGCACGAAAGCCGCACACCATCTAGGAATTGCTGCACTATGCCTTTGCTCTCAGTGCTCTGTCTTCGCTGTGGTTCGCTCTTGGTTTGAACATGTGATTGAGCGCGTTGCTCTTCTAAAGCGCGCAACTCCTCTTGCATTGCCTTCTTGCTACGCTCTACAACCGCATCAAGTGGATCCTCTTCAAAGGCATGGCTATTGCTGTTCATGGGCTCAAAGATATTGCCGTTGCCGTTGCCATTGCCATTGCTGTGGGCAGCGGAATGGTGATTTGAATTTACCGATGCCGTGGTGCGTTCATCTTCCTCGCCTTCTGCCTCCAAGTCTCCAGATGTGGCTGTTTCCGTGCTTCGCTTTGGTCGAACATCTTCCGGTGTCGTTGTGGGCGTCGTCATGTGCTGTGACTCCTTGGCCGCTTTGATTTGAAACAGCGAGGATATATTCTCCTTGGCGCCATGCACTTCGCTAGATATCTTGCTAGTCATTGAGTCCATGGCTCTGCCCATTGACTCTTTTGTGTTTGTCGCTATTTTGGCTGCATTGCTGCCCACCTGTTCCATGGATTGCTTAGCATCGCTGGCCATTCGCATTGCGCTCTTGCCAGCCGCATCGACAGCATCTCGAGCTCCGTCTGCCATGCGCTGGGCACCCTTGCCAGCTGCATCGACAGCATTCCGGGCGCCACTTACCATGCGCTCGCCCGCTGTTTCAACAGTATCGCGAGCACCCGTCATCGCATTCTGCACTGCTGTTTGCACCGTGTTTCCCGTCTCCTGAAGCTTTGATTCGATGGCATCGCCGACACTCTCTGTGGTCTTGATAACCGCTGCTTTCTGTTCTGTGACCACCTTGTCGACGTGCTGCTCCAGATCATCCAGCATTTGCTCACCGTCCGATTCCAGGTCGTCTACAAAGTCAGCCAGCGGCGTGTCTGGCATTTGGTTCTCAACGTTGGCCGTCACATCGACGCCATTGTTGATGAAACGTATCTCATTTACCACCTTGCTGCTGTCCAGCGCATCCTCCTTGGTCGTTATCTCAACGGCCAGCTGCTCATCCTCCTCGGTTGGCGGCGTGGGCGTAGATATTTGTATTTCTGTTGACGGTGCACTCTCGGCCAGCGGATTCTCCTCTACCGTATCCAGGCTATCCACAAGTTCTGGCGACGTTTTATCAATCTCATCGTGCTTCATGGCCGCCTCATAGGAGAAATTCCGAATGGGCGTTCGCTTTATAGTTTGCGGTGTGCTCGCATTGCTGCTGTCCGGGTAAGGCGTGTGCGGTCGTAGCTGCTTCTCCTGGCTGCTCACTGTGGGCGGCTGCGCGTCCTCTGCTTTCACTTTGTTCGACTTGATCGATTCTGCTGGTGATTGTTGAAGTGATGGCGTTTCTGCAGGTGGCGTTGGCAACTTGGCTAACGCTTCTACTGTAGCTGTTGTTGCTGTTGTATTTTTGGGTTGCTTAATCGGACTCTCCTCAGGCGCCGTGGGCTCCATTGGCTCCGATTTCATTTCCATTTCCATTGCTTGACTTTCTGTTTGAGGCGTTGCTTCGCTTGCCTTTGCTTCGACTGGCGTCTCTATTTTCGCTTCTACCAACAACTCTCCTTTGTTGTTATTTGGCTCCTCTGTTGTGGACTCTGCTTTTTGTTCCGTTTCTTGATTTGCTTCTTCACTGACATTCTCATTCATTGCCTGCATCTCTTCCATTTGTTCGTTGTCTTTCTCTGACTCCTTTGCTGTGTTGGGTTCCTGCTCAGCTCCCCCGTTTTCGTGTCCATCTGAAATGTGCTTCACCGCCTCTAGTGTGGCCACAGATGCGCCAACTGCTGCTACGCTGGCGCCCATGAAGGCCGAACTCTTGTCCTTTGCGTCCGTTTCTGGTTCCGTGTCCTTCAATGCACGTTGCTTCGTCAGACTTTTGCCGCTGGCGCTTCGCATTTCCATGTTGCCATTGAGATCCTTGGGTTGTAGCACAAAGCTGCGGCTCATGTAGCTCTGTGCATCCGCAGGACTGCCCACTGTAGCCGAAAGAGCCGAAGATCTGGGCAAGCCCTGGACTAGAATGTGCTGATCCCCTACGGCAATATCGAGCAGACGCAGATTCTTAAACTTGGAGATCTCACGGAAGGTCTTCAGATGATGACCGCTCTCCGAGAACGTGGTGAAGAACTTATTGGCCTTGCTGAGCACCGCATAAAAGGAGAAGCCCTTGAGCAGCTTCCAAATGGGTCCATTCTCTTCGCTGTCGTAGTCATAGAAGCGCTGAAAGACCAAGCTCTTGTTGCGCAGCGACTCGAAGCTGCGGTAGATGTTGCCCACATTGGTCACGATAAAGATCTCGCTGGCCTTCGATATGTGCATGAAGATGATCTGCTCCGTCTGCGAGAGATTCTTCTGCAGCTCCGTGAACTTGGGAAAGACAAACTCATTGAGGCGGCCAGTCAAAAAGAGATTCCCACTGCCAGTCAGCACCAGCGTGGACTCTGGCCCGCAGGCAAACTGCTGCACTGGAGCGTCCAGGCATATTTCCACGGGATGTCCATCGTAGTCCATGCCCAGATCGCCCAGCTGCTGTTTGGCATTCGAGCCACAGCCAATTAAGCGACCTTTGCCTGTAAAAATTTGACAGACTGAGCTGAGCATTTATTTACCTGGAGTTTTTTCTCTCTCTACTCACTGGTCAGCACCACAAAGTGCTCGTTGCCCGCCTGCAGAGCGGCAAAGTTATCCGTTTCCTCGTTCTTCGACAGATAGTCATCGAACTCCTCCAAGCGAAAAGGCTTTCGTATTATGGCGCACGGCTGCTCCTCCACGACTGCATTGATGAAATGCTGAGCCACATGCGTGTCCAAGGGGAATATGTTTCGACCCGTAAAGAATATCTCATTGGAAACTGGCATGTGTGAGAGAGAGGAAGTGAACAAAAGAGAGAGAGAGAGAGAGAAACAGGCAAAGTTGTAAGAGTGTTAATTTTTTTTTTAGTTGAATGGTTGGTAAATTAACTAGCAACTGCTTATAATTAGAGATTAATTGACTTTTAGTTTAGTTGGAGCTTATTATATACGTACATACATATACGAGTATACCACATGAGTTTGCTTTTAGCTCTATTCTTACTTACGCGTCATTATTACGGCCCAATTGTTGCCAAAGGCGGCATCGCTTATCTTTAAGCCCAAAGTTTTCAGCGACTTAACGCAAGTTGGCTTGCTGACTATATCACCATTGTTGTTGTTGTTGCTTTTGTTGGCATGCCCGCCAATGCCCAGTTGGCCATAATGATTCTCGCCCCAAACGAAAAGACGACCCGATTCTGTAATTGATAAGAACGTTTTGACATCAACTTTTGACCAATTTCACCTTTTGTTTAGCTGCTGCTTGTAAGTTTTATTGATTGCGTGTGTGTTCAGCGCCGTAAATGTGTGTGGGTGTATTACTGTATGTGTGTGTGGGTGTGTGTGTTTGTTTGTCACTGTCAATCCAATGCCCGAAATGTTCAACTGTCCAAAGAACTGCTTTCAACTATTTTATTTCACCTGACCCGCTTTACGTTTCAATTACGAGCGAGCCGCGTTCGGTTTTAGCCTTTTTGGTCTCACTCACTCGTGGGCTATTTGTTTCTTTTAACGTGCTTCGTGAGTTTGGCCCATATTTATGGCAGCAGCGCCCCCCCCCCCCCCCCCCCAGGCCACCCCTTTTAGCTGACCTCATTAGATGCCCGAATGGAGTATTGGATTGGTCTGTGATTTCGAGTGTGCTAGCTTAGCCCTATTTAAACTGACTGCAAGCTGGCTCATAGAGCTCATGGAGCTTGTCGTTGAGTTATGTAAGCCAAGTGGAGAATAGTGTCAAATCGATTCCAGTCTCGGAGACTTATGATCGCCTGGCTGTAATTGAGCCATAGTTTCGAGTTGCTACAAACTGTGCTGTGTTGGGCTAACATAAAAGGGAAAGTGCGCTGCGTGTTTATTATTTGAGACTAAATTGCAGCTAGCATGCAACGTGGTCAACGGGCCACGAAGCCTGCCACAGACACCGCAAAAGACAATCGGGCAAGCGGAGCTCGTCTTGGCCAAAGGGGCATAAAGTTAAAGTTAAAGTTTTTGCAGCAGGATTTGATGGAAGGGAAGGCAGAAATTCCGACAGATGGACAGGTGAACAGACAGGCACTTTGCTGAGTCTTGTTGTTATTGTTGTGGTTGTATTGGTGTTGAATTTACCGCATATAACCGCACTCTGATGCGGACCGGATATCAAGCGTTTGACCGGATCGTTTTTGATATAGAAATAGCTTTGCGTATTCTCCGCCAAATGCGATTTGCCAAGCGTAAATATTGCACCGCTGCTGGGTATATCCATTTTGTTAATCTATATAGCTATATAGACATATATATATATATAAATATGTGTAAATTGTTTGTTTGTTTGTTGTTCTTTTTAATTTTTTTTTTAAATTTCGTTGTTGGTTTTATCGATTTTGACATTAGGCTTTTGCATAATTTGCCGGCTGCACTCATTTGAAAGTTTTTATCACCAGCTATATGTAATTTATACATATGTGTGTGTGTATATATCTAAGTATATATATAAACACTGTCGTTGCGTGTCTGTAGCTGTGATATTGGCAGCTATATAACTCGTATCGTTAGCCCGTTAAGCCCATCGGCACTTGTGGTCAGTTGAACGTTTCGGCGTGTACTGGTCAAGCTAGCGCAAGGGCTGCCCAGTTCTAGCCAGGACTTGTACACATACCAATACCAATGCCGATACACACACACATAAATACACCTAGGCACCTAGACACCCAGACACCCACTCTAGCTAGTCCTGGCTGACTGACTGGGCTGCCCCCATAAATATGCTATGAAAACTGTTTTGTGCTGTACGCCTGGTTGCTTAGGCAGCTTGGCTCCACTATGGCACTTTGAGGCTATTCCGCTGGCCATATGCACCTCTATAGTGAGTCACCCTAACCCAAGGCACAATATTGTGTGGGGCTGCTCGTGTTCAGGTTAAGTTATTCGAAAGTGTTAACGTTTTGGGGTTATGGCCTCAAACTTGGCTTCTGTTAATGGCATTTGTGAGTAATGTGCGCAAATCTCAAGCTTCAAATGTTAAAAATAACATCAACTATATATGTATTTATATAATATATGGGTCGCGTCGAGTCAGGCATTGGGCGTTACGAATTGCTGACCTGTTGACATTTGCATAAAAAAGTTGGCAAAACTTTTCGACCGAAACAGAAATATTTCGCTGGAATTTCACCGATTTCTGCACTAAAAGTTAATTAATTCATTTACTTTGTATGCAAAGTAGCACAAGAAATATATAAACAAAAAGGAAGAAGAGAAGAAGTGGAGCTCTCCAGAAATTGCTAATTGGGGCTCGACTTCGACTTCGTTTTTTATGGCCTTTAAGGCGCCGCGGCAGCTAGTGAATGCCGTCTGCTAGTCTATTGGCCAGCTAAATAGCTTGATCATGGCCCACACTTGCAGTTTCGCAGACAATTTGCGTCAATTAATTGATTTCTTGGCCCATATGAGAAATTTTCCATTCAATTCTTATGCAATTGCGGTGCGTTTTATTCTCCTATTTATTCCCCTCTCAACTTGGCCTTGAAGTGTTTCGCGCAATTTGCTGGCCATGCGATTCACATTCAAGCCACTGCGTGTTCTTCATTAATGTGTTCTATTATAGGGCAGCACAAATTATAATACAATGTGGCTAACAACTCTATAGCTTGACTTATTGTAACGTCGATTGATGTCTTCTGCCTTAGGTGAGTAGGTCAAGCTATTGGTTGAGGAATAATTGAGAGTGTAATTTTTATGTAGACGTTGTTCGAGCTTAGAATTTGCCGAGCTTCCTTTATTTATCTATTTATTATAGATTAAAACTATTCTTAAATCAAGGCTAACTTGAATAAAAAACTAGGACCTAGTCAATTCAAATGAATTGAATGATTTAAATTCAGTCAGTCTGCAGCTTAGGAAACCTGTCTATACATTCTGTTATTTTGTCAGCCCCTCAGTGCTTCATCTAGAAATTTTGTCAAATTCATTGAAAACAAACCCAAATCAAAATATTATTAATTTAAATTAGTATTTCCCTTACTCAATCATCGTATTTTGCATATTTTACTTGTTGTTTCAAGCATTAGAAAAAAAAAAAAAACAATCTAGTTATGATGATACAATCTGTGACAATAACTCAGGTCGTACACTACTAATCTGAATGCTCTATTTATGATCTACAAAACCAATAGAAAAAATTTACTATATCATATGACTGGGCGTGGCCACGTTTTGTGCAACACGAAGCCACGGCGCTGGCTACGCCTATACGTAAAGCTATATCTATACTATAATCACTGTACCTATGCATGTATGTATGTATGTATGTATGCGTGTGTATGTGTGTCTGAGTAATTTACGAGTATCGTCCCAGCGACTCTGTGTGTGTGTGTGCTCAACTGGCTAACTGCAACTGGCTGCAGTTATGGCCACCGTCAAAGGTGGTGTCAGGTGCTGTTGCTGTTGCTGTTGCTGTTGCATAGGCATGCAAGCGGACTAGATGTGTGCCGACTGTCGGCCAATGTGCCAGTTACCACATATAGTCCCCTCGTCATGTCTGCACCCACTTGAAAACTTTTGCGAATGCAAATTTGCACAAAAGACGCGTTCCATTGAACTCTGCCAGAGGTCGACAATTGAGCTGTACATAAATATTTTTAGTAAAGTTTTTATACCAATAATAGACCCACTTACTGTACACATATACATATATATATGTATATATATATGCATCAAATTGTTATAATTAATGGCGCGTACATTGAACCCGAATCGAACGAACGTCTTCTTTATGCCGCTGACGCAAGCGTCGGCAGAGCAGGAAGACAGCTGCGCCAACTCTCAAGACACAAATCAATCGGTATTTCGGGTCAGCCAATTCAAGTTGTCACCAACAAGGCTGGCTACCTTAGGATCGGTCGGTGGGTCGGTCGGTTGATTGAACTTGCTTAAAGCCAATCGATTTGTGGCAGCTAGATGAAAGGGCCTTGGGGTAAGCTGCCAAAAATAAATAGAACTGTTTGCTTGACCTTCAACAGCTGCTGTCAAGTGAGGCATACCCTGTAGCGTGTGTGTATGGCGGGGAGGGGCATGATGAGAGGATTACTAATTGCAGCTTGGCTTAGATAAAGCTTAAGCTGAAAATATATTTATAATTAATTACAGATCTAATATATAGGAAGGGCAGCTGCTCTATTCTATTAGTCTACCTGTTGCAATTAATAAGGGAATGAAGGCATTGTATTATTCCAATTTGAAATTTTTATATAAAAACTATTTTCTTTTTAAGAGAGTAGCTTGCCCATAAATCTATAGAGTTTTTAGTTTTCTCCTATTTTTACAGGGTATCTCTGGCCAGTTGCTCTATCAAACTTTCATTCACTATATTCAGCTGTTCCTATACACTATAAAAACGAAATTTGTGCGCCTTTTTGCGGGATTATTTTCTCTAGCTTTTCTATTTGGTTTTCGGGCGTTTCGTGTGCTTTTCATTTCGTTTGCATTTGATTGGGTTATACGCTCCCCCCTCCCCTCCACCTTAGTTTGACCCATGCTCTGACGCCGCAATCAGAGTGCGAATTGTGTTTACAAAATAAAAAAGCCAAAGCAAAAAGGTGCAAGAATGTTTGTGTTTTGATTATGGTTGTGTGGCACAATGTCAGCGTCATAAGCACGTTTCTCTAATTTACTTTGGCCCACCTCACGTCTCTCGGCTCCTGCTACTCGCGTGGCCTTTATGATTATGTGGGCAGGAAATATACGAAAAACATGAAATTAACTGGAATTAGCTGCAAAACACTAAAACGTAGTCTACTTTTCTGCGTTGGACAACGCTCTGTAATTACAGAAACCACACTGAAATGAGCCAGCGAACTGAGAGCGAAGCAAAGGTGGGAGAAGGTAACGAAGAGGAGCTGGAGCAGAAGCAGGAGCAGGAGCAGGCAGCCAGTGAGAGTGAAAGTGTTTCCAAGGAAAACGAAACAGACTCCAACTCTCCTGCCGAGCAACTGGAAACCGATAAACCTCAGCAGGAGTGCGAAACGTTGGTAAAGGAAACCAACGCAACAACAACAACAAATGCCTCAAATAACAAAAGTGAGCAGGAGGAGGCCAATGCCACAAGCTGCCGCACAGCAGGCGATTCAACGCCTGACCAGGTCAGCCAGACGGAGTCCTCGCAGCAGGACTTTGCGGACTACGAACAGCATGTGAGCTATGCGGCCGATGGTGGCGCCATTTACACGGATCCCAGCACAAAGCAAAAGTACAAATGGTGTAACACGCAAAACAATTGGCAGCCGCTGTCCGGGGATGAGTCCTCCACAGCGGGCAATATGTATGAGAATGAGCACTACAAGTGGTGCCAGGAGACGCAACAATGGCTTCCCAAGCAGTCCGGCACCAGCAGCACAGCAACCGAAACCGAGCACTACAAGTGGGATGCGGAGCAACAAAAGTGGGTGCCCAAGAAGCTGCCACAGGCAGCACCTGGCCAAGATGTGGTCTATGGCATCGATGAGAACGGCGATCGCACTTACACAGACAAGGATGGCGTCGTCTTCTTCTGGGATGCCAGCAAGTCAGCGTGGTTCCCGAAAATCGATGACGACTTCATGGCGCGCTATCAGATGAACTATGGCTTCATAGACAACACCAGCGCCGGTGAGCGCGAGAAGGAGGAGCGCGAGGCCGCTGAAGCCAAACGCAAGGCGGAGGAGTTGAAACGTATGACAGCCGAGGCCCAGGCGGCCATGAATGCCCCCATAGGTGGCAAAGATGGTGTCCCAGCGGCAGCTGTGGCTGGCAAGCGCAAGGCCCAAGAGCCGCCAAGTAAGCGAATAATAATAGAGCATATAATATGATTTTGATTTAACTTTTTATTTGTTTAAATCCTCAGAATGGTTTGATGTGGATCCCACGCAAAACACCAAAGTTTACGTTTCCAACTTGCCCTTGGATATAACAATGGATGAGTTTGCCGAGCTGATGGGCAAGTGCGGCTTAGTCATGCGAGATCCGCAAACCCAGAAGTACAAACTGAAATTGTACACCGAAGCGGATGGACAAATCAAGGGCGACGGATTATGTGATTATATAAAGGTGAGTTTCGATTTGAGTTGATCTGATTTGTCTGAATGATGAGAGAGTTTTCCTGTCCACAACTAGGCTCGGCTAGGCAAGTCCCTTACTATACAATGATCTAGTCGGTCTGCTACTGTCAGTTTAGCTATAGCTGTGATAGGCTTCACAACAAAATGTTAGCAGAGGCAGCTAAATCACTTAAATAACTGAATTCTTTCCATTTTGTAAGAGCAGC